TCTCACTAGCAGACCCGTTTTGCTAGACTTCGTGTCTGTGAAGACCTTTTGAGTTCTGTATGATAAGCGGCCATTTTGAGTACATCAAAGAGTTCTCACCGTACTCAAACAACAGAAGGTCTCTGTCGCATCCTGTCGTTATCTTACCAGTCGTAGATAATAAACAAAGGTTTTGGAGGTAAATGAATAGGTCACTGTTCTCTTGTAAACATGGGCAGAGTCATGTGATGGTCAGAGTTTGGAGCGTTAACATTTCACTCCAAGTTATTGCTACATGTTAAATCGTGATAATGACTGTCACAGGAAAAGTGGAACCACTTCTTTTCTTTTATCGTGCCTTAAAGATTTATAATGGTATAAAAAAATCACAGAGAATCCGATTACAATATTTTTCCTGAGAAAATCTTTCATTTATCTGGACTAACAGAAGGTTCAGAACTGATTATAAAACAGAAATGTTAATTAATCATCATAAATGTTTTGCAGTGATTTCTCTTAGAGTCTATCAGAAGAAAGCTGAAAAAAGGTTATCATATCATGTTGTTGGACAACCACAGAATTTTAACCTTGGGCTGGCGCCGCTGGCAAATCTTTATCTTTCTTCTCTGACTTATCTCTAAGCCTGAGGGTGGAACCAAAGTTCATCCATTTCTTTTACTAACCCGGACGGCTTTGAGCGACACTCTTCTTCCTGATTCCAACCAAGGAAGAAAGCTGGGATTCTCTCCGCAGAAAAACCCAGTTTGGCTTTAAGTCCGAGCCCATGAGCTAACTAGGGGAGACTTAACAGCCAGGGACCCGGCACGCCAGCCGGTGGTCTCACCCTGAGGCTTCAAGCCTCTAAAGTGTGTTTTTATCTCCAGTGAGGAGATTTTACTTTGGAAAGAAGGGACTGGATACAGCTTGAATTTTTCTGGCTTGGACTGAAACAGACGAAAGTTACCTGGAAAAACACCTACTCGCCAATGACCGGTAAGCAAGCCGACATTCAGTTCCCTGACTGATCGGAGACGAGCCAGCTCCTACCCCGAGGGTAGAAGCTGTAGGATATAAAATTTGGGTCATACAGCCCAGCTCTACAACAGAGCAACATCATCTAGGTCTTCCTCTGGATCTCCTCCCAGTAGAACGTGCCTGGAACACCTCACCAGGGAGGCGTCCATGAGGCATACTAACCAGATGCCCGAGCCACCTCAACTTTGGCGGAGTCCAACTCTCACTGGAAAAGAGCTCAACTCACTACCAGCGATGCGGACCAAGCTCTGACACCGGTCGTACAGGGACCTAAGAGTCCTTATCAAAGGGCTTAAGCTGGAAACATACTCCCTCTGAACTGCCGACGTCAGCACGGCACCGTCGTTTAATGACGAAAATTACATCACCGGGCTTTGCAGCATCGGCTCGGCAGCCCCTTTTGGCACAACCCGCCGGCAGAACTTTTTACCCCCCTCCCGCAATGACAGTAGTGTGTGATTGGTCTGAAGTTCGTGGGCGTGTTTGTTTGTGCTGAAACTGAAAGCGTTTGGACACTCAAAGGAAAGAAAAAAGGAAAAAAACTCGCTTCTAGAGCCAACCATTGAAGCAGAGTTTTATAAAGATAGTCAAATCGAGAAAAACTCATGACGTGTTTAACCACTCAGTTAAAAAATGACTCACTCCCAGAGCCGACTGTTACCAGGAAGCAGAGTTTTGTAAAGATAGTCAAACCATGAAAAACTCATGAATGGAGATTAAACAGAAATTGTGCACGGAGGAATCTGACTGATAAAAACAGTGGAGCTTTAACCAGGACAGATGTGGATAAATACGTCGGGTGAGTGACGAGTCTGACTTTTTTCTTTTTTTTCTGCATTGTCGGCTGTTGCGTGAAGGAACTCCATGCAGTGACGTATGTTGCAGCGGGTGGAGTTTCCAGGAGCTCGGCACGGTGTGTCTCTGGAGCTATGAATGGTGTGTGCGAAAACGACTGCCGAACAACCACGTGACTGCGCGTCGACTCGTCGGCATCGGACGGAGTATGTTTCCAGCTTTAGCACCGCATACTCCAAGAGTACCCACCCATCCATCCCCTCGCCCCCAAGGATTCCTGTGAGACACGGTCGAACGCATTCTACAAGTCCAGAAAACACATGTACACTGGTTAGGCAAACTCCCATGAAACCTCCAGGACACTGCTGAGGGTGTAGAGCTGGTCCAGTGCTCCATGACCAGGACGAAAATCAAACTGCTCTTCCTGAATCTGAGATTCGACTATCCGACGGACCCTCCTCTCCAGGACCCCTGAATAGACCAGGGAGGCTTAAAAGTGTGCTCTCCCTATAGATGGAACACACTCTGTGGTCCCCCTTTTTAAATAGGGGGACCACCACCCCGGTCTGCCAATCCAGGGGAACTGCCCCTGATGTCCACGCAATACTGTAGAGTTGCATCAACCTGGCATTCACTTATTAAGTGAATGCCAGACAACATCTAGAGTCTTAAGGAACTCTGGTCAAATCTCATCCACCCCTGGCACCTTGCCACCGAGGAGCTTTTTAACCACCACGGTGACCTCAGCACCAGAGACAGGAGAGCCCAATCCAGGGTCCCCAGGTTCTGTTTCCACATTGGAAGATAAAAACATAAACTGCACACAAAAATACATCATCGTGTGGCACTAATTGCAAAGCAGCAAATATCTATTAGTGACAGTTTTTTTTGACAATTAATCACACACAACATTGCACACCTACCATAAACAATCCACTGCTGAACAAAGGTTTGCAGAGTCTCATATACTTAGCAGTTGGATTGTACAATAACTTGAGATAGCACTTGCATTTTTATCTATTTAAATAAAGAGAGTCCCTACTGACAAACTAGATCAAAAGAGAAAATGTTGTACTGTATTAATTAAAAAAAAAGTTTTGCAATTTAGTCTAGTTAACAAGTTGATGACTGAGAATAGACCAAAGGGTAGTTTTCAGAAAAGCAGGAAGGCCGTGGGAATTGGTCAGGCCCAAGAAAACACAAAAAATAAAAGACTGATACAGACGATAAAAATCTAACTCAGCTGTTTTGCACTCCTAATAAAATGAGTTAGATCACAAGTACTGACTGGAGTTTTTTCACAAGGGATGTTAAATATCTTTTGTAATGACCACTTCAGTTTCTGCGGTTCTCTAAATGTCCTGATGGACACCAAGCCTCAACTGGATAAAACTGAACAAAAATGTTTGTATCATGGTGTTCTGTCCACTTTCTCAGCCTCTCATAATCATCAGTTATGTATAGTCATATAT